GAAAGGAGTTATGAGGGTGTGCCACGTGGTGGAAAGGGGAGCTGGGGTCACTAGACACTCTGCATGGAAACTAGGAAATTAGGTTCCGGGGGAACCTAATCGGCGGTGTAAGCGGTCACCCCCAACACGAGAAGACATGATCTGATCACGATATAAAAATAACACACCCTGCCCGGCTCAGCTAAGGACCAGGACCTGCCTGACACCATGTGAGAACAAAGCCTCCGCCCTCTTCCCCAGAGAAGGCCAGTAGACACAATTTCCTGAGCCTGTCGCTGCTGCTTCAACCTCCTCCCCTACAAGCCGCCTTCCTAGTCTCCACTGCCACCTTTGTGCTCCAGAGCCATCGCGAGCCGAGCGTCAGAGCTCCAGGTCTAAGGAGATCTCTCCCCAGCCCCACTACTCACTCGGTCACGTCCATTCTTAGCCAGCGAGACATTGGCAACGGGGAAGGAGCAGAGCGAGGAGGTGGAGGAATCACAGTCGGTCCTACAGGAGAACAGGGGATGATAGTCTGCTGTCACCGTGCTGGCCTCACCCTTCCTTTTGTCCTTCCCGTACTGCCCCTTGGACTCCAGGTCTCCCCTGGGCCCCGACCCCATCCCACCTCCCAGCACATTCCCTCGGACGGGAATGCATGGACTCCGAGTTGGATCACTGTGGACTTCAGTTTCTCCACAGACCACTTGGGAGCTGGATGCACAAAGTGTAGGATCCCAGGTCCCTGTCCCTAGAGTTCAATTCGGTTGTCTTGGCCTTTTGAGAACATTCTCCAAGGGGACCTACAGATGTCTTTCACGGAGCACACACGCCCTCAAACTACTGGCAGAATTGCACATCGGGTGTGTGTGCGCACATGGATATTACGGCACGGAGGGCCACAGCTTTCGCAAGACCCGTCCCTCTAAGAGGAAGGTGCTCTGCCTTCCTTCGAAACCACAGCTCACGGCCCCGGGTTTTGAGACAGAAAAAAAGAAGACTCTGAACCACTGCTAGCCGTGCCCTCATGAGCAGGTGCTGATGGCCCTATAGCCAGCAGTAAGGCAAACGTGGGAAGAGTGGGAAGCAACCCAGGGCCCAGGGAATAAGCCTAGTCACTGTGTTTCCCCACTCTCCACTGTTCAGCAGGGTCCTGGGGGTGGGAGAGGGATTAAGGGCAGGGCCACTTTGCTCAGACCTGCTGCTGACCAGTTTAGTTCTGAAATGACCCAAGAGGTTGAGTTGCCTCAAAATCCCACACTGGTATGAAATACAAAAGGGTGCTTTTAAAATACATTCCTTTCGAACGAAGATCTTTGACTGACTCTTTCTCACGGCCACGGAGTCAATGTTGACTCCTAGCGAGGCCTCTGTGGGTTTCTGAGATGACAGTCACTGTTTATGGGAGTAGAAAGTCCAGTCTTTCTCCCAAGGAGCTGCTGGTGGTTTCAAACTGTGGACCATGCGGATCGCAGCCCAACACATAACCACTATGCCACCAGGCTCTACCACCACCACCACCACCCCGCAGCAACAACAAAAAAAATTAGTTGCCTCAAGAAAAACAAAACCCAAAATTCCACCTTGCGCAGTTAAAGGAAGAAACAGTCCCTCACAATGACAGTCTAGAAGCGCCTTTGTCATTTGTTACCAGGATGTAGTAACCCCCAGCGAAAGGTAAGACATCAAATAAACCCACGGACTCAAGTTTCCTCATCAGCAAAAGAAGGCCTCCGAGGGTCCTGGCCTCAACCATCTGCAGGGTCCCTGACCAGACTCACCTGTAGTAGAAATGCACAGGGCTGAGGTGGCTGACTGTCGGCATGTAGGAGTAATAGAAGGAGCCATAGAGGAACACAGATACCCAGAGCAGGAGGAGGACGGTGCATAAGAGTACCCCAAACTGTAGCAGCAGCTTGCGGGCGCGGCTTGCTAAGATGTAGCCCACGTCCTGGGCCCATAGTAAGGCGGGCACTGGCGGGTCATTGCCCATGGCCGGCAGAACAGGGGGCCTGGCCCCAGGTTCAGCCCTTGCGTTGTTGTTCCTAGCTGCTCGGACACCGGGATGCCACCCCGGGCCATGGGGTGCGGCCGCTGATGGTTCCTGGAAAGATATGAGGAGGAACGAGTAACTAACTCCTTTCTCCCAGCAGCTGGGGAAAAAAGACACGCTGGCTGGACTGGCTTTGAGGAGACAAAGCCAAGTCATGGTAGAACCTGGCCCTTCTCCAAAAGGTTCCCCCTCGGCCAGTTACCCTTAAAAAAAAATTTCTCAACCCCCCCCCCCC